ATGTTAGGCTTTACAATCAGAGTGGTCTTGTCTGAAATAACTTTGCTCATTCATTTGCATTGGCTCAAATATAATCATATTTGAGCTCATAATATTGCTTCAGTAAAATGTTTAAAATTTGGATTTCGTTAGAGTTAGACCATTAAACTGTGTATCAAGCCAAGATTTTATGAGCCTATGAAAATGCCAGAGAAACAGCGCTTACATTATGGGGAAAACGCGTTATGGAAGCGTCACGTTATTCATGATAAAACAGAAAAGCATCAATACGTTGCTGACTAATGAATAACTGGATTCAACCTCGTGATAAATACGCGTGTTTGTGTAATATTGGGAAAATTACTGTCACAACAGATTTTCCCACTTCTTCAGTCAAGTTTTAAATAGCAGGTCCGTAATGATTATGCATTTAAAAGTGACCCAGCAGACAAGCGATTTGAATTTATCCGTTAAAACGCTTGATATCACACAAATAATATTTCATATGAATCAGACTTAATAATATTGTATTGTAAAAGTTACTTACAGCATCCAAAATAAATTAAAATATGTATTTTTTCAGCATTGCATTATCCACTCAAAACCCCAGTAGCCTACACGCTGTTACATCAATGATAGTCATTTGGGCTGATATTTTATTCATAATATTTATGTCCTATAGCTAGCTATTTGTCACAACGATTGTGCTCTAAAAGACAAAATCATCCGTTTTGTAATTTGTTACATCGTGTCTACCCCGTGCGAGGCTTTCTACATTGGACAAAGCAAATGTGCAAATGATGTGTCCTCCTCCGTATAGTTGCGTATAGTAGCCGCTACAGAAGAAGAAGAACGGGCATCCGTTTACTATCAATGAATCATCGTGTCGCGCTGCGCCGCGTCCAGTAGACACTATCACGAATTATGATTTTTTTTTCATGTAGCCAGCATAGTCAATAAAGAGGATTATACGTCATATGTTCAGGTAAGAAAACAGACGATGCTCGGGATCTTTGATGATCATAATTTGTGTGTAATCCTGAGTTAATAATAAAGAATATAAATATAAAGAAGCCTTAAACTCCAATAATCTTTTGGAAACGGGACGTGTTTTAACCACACAAACAGCTAATTTGAATGAAGCTCCTATTACAGCTGCTTTCAGGGGTGCAAATATCTACAAAATTTATCAGATAAGATCCAGTTCTCAGCCCGAGTTTAAAGCCTTACGTGATTGGTTGTAGCGAGAACGTGCTACGATTGGTCAGCTCAATGTGGCCGTTATCTGATTGGCTTGAGTAAACGGTGGGTGGAGTCCACTTATTTGTGGATTTGTCTGCACGTCGACGCTAGAAGTGTTTCAAAATCCACAAATGCGTGAGGGGATTTACAAATGCACAGGAACCGATTCACAAATGCGTGAGGGGATTTACAAATGCACAGAAAGCGGTTCACAAATAAATGCCAGGCAGAGTTGTGTTTGTGGCATAAAACACATTTGTAAATATATATTTTTATTTGCAAATCTCATTTTATTTATTTGTGAGTTTTATAATTTTTTGTGAAACTCTTCACATTTATTTGTGGATCTTAATCTGTTTATTTGTGAATTTGATATATTTTTGTGAATCTCTTTATATTTATTTGTGGATCATAATCTATTTATTTGGAATAATGCAACAATTCTACCCCCATACGTCCACGCCAATAGGCAGTAGCGGTCGATAGGGCGTCTATCCATAGACATTGTAGCAACCCTTCAACTTGGAATAAACAGGCTTGGGAGTGTTTCCATACGGGTGTACTTTTATTCCGATGACTGTGCATAGCATCAACACCGTGAAAACTTAAAAGGAAAATAACAAAGGCAGTTTAGCTAGATGCAAAATGATCCTTTGACAAATGCACAAATGCTAGAAAGCTAGCATCAGATTGACAACAGCATAGCAGGCAACAGCCATCACAAAATGAATCTCATTTCCATTTACATGAACATATTAAATTAATTAATATGAAAAAGTACATTACAATGAACCACATACCTCGCTCCGCATATCAAAGGGTGCTAAAAGTAGTGATCCAGGGGGGTTTCTGCCACCATTAACTTAACTTGGACAAATTTCGTGAATTACTTTTACTGCCAAACAAATAAGTACAGATGAATAACACTTAACATTTTAGTTTAAGGTTACAGTAATATTTTCCGACCTCAGACATGCATTGTCTCATATCGTGCCTTCCCGCGTTTACCCCCTTCATGAGAGAGCGCGTGAGCGGATGAACACAGAGAAAAAATAGTCCCCCCTGCAGATAGCATGTCAAAATAAAAGTCACATAAAATAAAAATATAAAAAACTGGATAATCATAATAAAACACTGCTAGTGGTCAACTACAGACATCATATAGGTAGACGCCCTATCGACCGCTACTGCCTATTGGCACGGACGAGAATTGGAGCCGCCATCTTAAACCGGTCATCCGCTCCGCTCAGTGTAATCTGAATGGCAGGTGAAATGAGCTGTCAGCGCATTTAATTAATCATATCTCACTGAATACTGAACTGATTTTCACGCGGGTTTTTTTGCTGCAAAGGTCATTCATGTAGCTATGATACAGGACACATGGTTCGGCGTATTTCAATATCCATAGTAGGCTTATCAGTAATCTAATATTCTGATATAAGATATAAAGTGACCAGACACATTATGTGTGATCACACACTATAAATATAATAAAGAAGCAGAAACAGATAGTTGCAGTAAAGTAAGATATTTTAATAAGTTGTAGAAACAATTTATGATTTGTGACACGCACATACACACGAACAGACACACACATTCTCTCTCTCTCTCTCTCTCTCTCTCTCTCTCTCTCTCTCTCTCTCTCTCTCTCTCTCTCTCTCTCTCTCTCTCTCTCTCTCTCTCTCTCTCTCTCTCTCTCTCACACACACACACACACACACACACACACACACACACACACACACACACACACACACACACACACACACACACACACACACACACACACACACACACACACACACACACACACACACACACACACACACACACAGAACGCAGCCAGCCACCGAATCTACCGAACGCAGCCACCTGTAATAAAAATTGAGAAGAAGCTTTTCAACGTGTTTGCATCAGTAATTTCTAAAAAATTAAATTCGGACAACATTAAGCCTATACACAGGACTTCTGTAATATCAATAGCCAAATCGCGTGTGATAAGATATAGGTTATCAATAACACTAGGAGGGGTAACTCAATTTGCGCATCGCTGTCATGCGTGTATTACATTGCTTCCTGATATCATGTGCGCAAACACAAATAACCTATACAACAGGGCAGTTGAATGCTTATCTGATAACCTAGAAGCTCTTGTAATTATTACTTTAACAGTTACCCCACCTCTCCATGCCGGGTGAACACCGGCTGATGCAATAAACAGCATTTCACAACGATTTCAGTACAGTAATAGCAAATATCCTTGCTCCTTCTCGATTATCTGGTAATATTATATTCACAAAATACAACCAATAGTACGGTAATGTTAAGACTTACTTGTGAAAAGCCCTATTTTCGATGGTCCGGCGATTAGAACAGGAAAATGCTCCACAATGCTCTGGCATCTTATCTGCTGCCACGCAACGAAACTAGAAATACGACCGGTTCAAGATGGCGGCCGGATTTCTCGGTTTCCAGCGGCCAGTAGGGCATCTAGTCTCTATATGATATCTATGGTCTATCTCAGGGGTAGGCAAGTTCGGTCCTAGAGAGCCGCTGTCCTGCAGAGTTTGGTTCCAACACTGAAAAAAACCTCACCTGCCTATAGCCTTAATAATCCTGAAGACATTGATTAGCTTGTTCAGGTGTGTTTGATTAGGGTTGGAACTAAATTCAGCAGGAAAGCGGCTCTCTAGGACCGAACTTGCCTACCCCTGGTCTATCTATATGATGTCTATAGGTAAGACATTAGGACCCAGTAGACACCACCTCAGAGCGCGTCATTGCTCAGCCGGCTATTTAGTGTGACGTAGTCACAGAGCGACAAGCCAAGCTAGCATTCATTCCAGCTTAGTGTGTCGGCACAGCGTGGGGAATGAAAGCACCAGGATCGATGGTTCAAACTAGTGCGGTGGTCATTGCTTGAGGCTGGAGATTGGCCAGTGGACAAAGCGGTTGTTCTGGGAAAAACCGTTGCAGGTACCAAGTTAGATTATGAAACGTTGTGAATGATCGTAAAAGCTTGGTATATTGATTTTGTATCTTCTGTCATAGTAACACAGTTTGAGATTGTGGTGAGGATGCATTCTATTCTGTCACGGTAACGCAGTGCGATTGTGGTGAAGACGCATTGTGCAAACATTTGTTTGCTATGCAGGTATGACCATGCCTATAACGATTGATTGTATGTTGTTACAAAAGAAACCTATCTCATGACATTTTATTATTGTTATAGGACGCGTGTCCAGTCACTGTTTTTCCTACTTGGTTTTAGCTATACAAACTGCCTACCATAATTTATACGATCATTGCTGAACGCCCATATGGGCATGTTAGGCGAGAGAGAGAGAGAGAGAGAGAGAGAGAGAGAGAGAGAGAGAGAGAGAGAGAGAGAGAGAGAGAGAGAGAGAGAGAGAGAGAGAGAGAGAGAGAGAGAGAGAGAGAGAGAGAGAGAGAGAGAGAGAGAGAGAGAGGTTTACAAAACTTTATTTAAAACAACACTTAATATTCAACAATTAACATTATTTGTATATATGGAGAAAAATAAAATAAAAAAAATAAAAATAATAAAAAACCACATTAAAAGTTCAAAACCAGATTTCCATCGGAAACAACACACAAAGCATCATTAACACACCACAGATCACTGAAACCCTTCTCATTATTTACAATACTATAGTATGCAAATTCAATTTTTAGTCTACCAGCCACTAATTTCATAAACATCACTTCAACATTAATACTATTAAGCTGCAATCCTTGATTTTTCCTGGTTTTCCATATTGCCAATTTCGCAGTTCCTGTTAAATAATTTAACAGACACATCTTCCTTCTTTTTGAAAAATTATATTTCACACCCCCTATAAAAACTTCCTCTGAGAAATCTTCACCAAAAACTTGAAACAATCTATTAAGAACTTCAAAAAGACCTTCCAGTCTTTTACATTTTAAAAACAAATGTTCTAAATTTTCTTCTTCTCCACAAAACCTGCATCCCACCCCTACTGCTGGGTTCAGGTGTGCCACATGTTTGTCTGTGGCTATTGCACCATGAATTATTCTCCATTGAAGATCGGCTGTTCTTTTCTCTACTGGAGGTTTATACAGAGTTCTCCACCGGTCTCTTACGAGAAATTCTGGCTTCAACAAAACCGGCCACTTCGATATCTTTTGTCCCCTGAGTGAAGCTTGATTTAAAACTTTAACTGCAGTGTTATATATTGCTTTCTTTGATGTTGTTTCAAACAAGTCCAGCTGTGGAGTTTTAAAAGACAAAATTGACCCCGTGGATTCGTCCTCATCCATCTGTCTTTGACCAACAACAGCAGCCACTCTAATTTTAGGAAAATCCAGCTCATTACTCATGTCTGATGTAAAATCTTGTCCCATATTTCTCCTATAGCCGCTTGGTAAGACATTAACAATTTCTTCCACCAGCTTCCCAGTCAGGCGCAAGGACTTTAATCCTGTTACTTCTTTCAAAGTTTCCACAGATTCCCATTCGCCATCCTTCAGAAGTTGCCCCAGCTTCACAATGCCATGTCTTTGTAAACATGCCCGTACGCTTACAGATGACAAAAGTCTTGTCTGAATCATTGGGTTGAAAAACAAAACTTCCTCTCGTATCCAACTCCCAGATTCATCAACATTTCTTTCCACCTTAAAAACACTTCTCCAAGAGTACAACATTGACCGGTAAAAAAGTGTAACCTCAGACAGGTTCACCTTATCCAGTTCCATTAGAAACAGATGTTTGTCTAATTTAAGACCACCTGCCTTCTGCAGAATCATCTTTGCAGTCTCAGTCCATGTTAAATCCTTGTTATACAGGAATCTCTGTGCCGCTTGTAATCTGAAAGCACAGATCCTACTCCGCACATCCACCAGTCCTTGACCTCCCTCGTAACAGGGAAGGTAGAGTGCCGCTGCTCGAATCCAATGCTCTCCACTCCAAAAAAAATCCACAAATATTCTCTGTATTCTGCAAATCAAATCTTCAGGTGGTTCCATTACAATGAGTCTATGCCATAAGGTTGAGGCAGCCAGATTATTCACAACCAGAACTCTTCCTCTGTATGACATCAGTGGTAATAGCGATTTCCATTTAAACAATCGGGCAGACACCTTTTCCAGCAGTCCCTCCCAATTTTTATTCTGAAATTGTTTATTCCCCAAAAAAACCCCTAGCATTTTCAGCCCATCTCTTTCCCACAACAATCCACCAGGTAATTTTGGAGTTCCTTGCTCACTTTTCCACTGACCAATAATGAGTCCCTCGCTTTTTCCCCAATTAACTCTTGCTGATGATGCCTTTTCATACTTTTCCATTGTTTCAGTTAAAAAATTAACATCATTTTGATTTGAAATAAAAACAGTAACATCGTCAGCATAAGCTGATATCGAAATTCCATGCATGACATTGCTTCCACTGAGACCCCTTCTTAGCCTGCACAACAACGGCTCAATAACAAGGCTATATAATTGTCCAGACAGTGGACAGCCTTGCCTGATCCCTTTTAACACAGGCACTGGTGCACTCAATCCTCCACCAGCTTTCACAATCACAAAAACTTCAGAATATAACAGTTGAATATATGAGATAAAATTCTTCCCAAACCCAAAACTTTTCAAAACCTCAAAAAGATATGTATGGTTGACTCTATCGAAGGCTTTCTCTTGATCTAATGAAAGCACACCCAGGTCAACATTACTGAACTGATTAAAATCAATGACATCTCTTAACAAAAAAAGATTATCCATAATAGACCTGTTAGGGATACAATATGTTTGATCTCTGTGAACTAATAATTCTAAAACATGTTTCAACCTATTTGCTAAGCATTTTGAAATTATTTTATAGTCCAAGCAAAGTAAAGAGACAGGTCTCCAGTTCTTTAAAAGGCACAAATCCCCCTTTTTAGGGAGCAAAGAAAGGACTGCTCTTCGACAACTTAAAGGAAGCAGCTTATTTCTTATACTTTCCAGTAAAACTTCATACAAGTCATTTCCTAGTACATTCCAGAATGCCTGATAAAACTCTGCTGGCAAACCATCGATTCCTGGAGAACGACCATTGGATAACTGTCTCATTGCCTCAGTTATCTCTTGAAAAGTAATTTGTCCATCCAAGGCTTTTTTCTGATCATTTGTCAGCTTTGGTAAGTCACTCAGCAAATCAGAAACACATTCAGGATCACAAGTCTCAGCGTCATACAAATCCGTATAAAAATTGACTGCCAGTTTCCTTATCTCCACTGGGTCAGAGGTTATGACCCCATCAGGCCGCCGAAGATGATACATTTGCTTTTGCTGAACGCTTTTCTTTTCAAGGTTAAAAAAATATGAGGAAGGAGCATCCATGTCTTTAATGGAACAAATTCTTGCTCGTATTAATGCTCCTTTCACTTGTTCATGCAGTAATGAGCAAAGTTCTTTCTTTTTATTCAAATATTCATTTTTTATATTTCCATCATCATTATTTATCACAAGAATACTCTCCAAAACTTGAATATCCCTTTGAAGTTTTTGCATTGCTGCTTTCACCATAGAAGTTGAATGTGAACTATAATTCTGACAAAAAATTCTTATGTTTGCTTTACCAACCTCCCACCACATAAACACATTTTCAAAAGAAAGCTTTTTTAACTTCCAATTGTTCCAAAAAAAATTAAAATTCTCGCAAAATAAAGCATCTTGCAACATCTTAGTATTAAAATGCCAAAAATAATTTGGTCTTAAATTCCTTTTTATATTCAAAGCAAATAGTATCAACTGGTGATCTGAAAACCCAACAGGTAGAATAGAAACATCCGTAATTTTACTATTCCATATTTTACCAATATAAAATCTATCTAATCGAGCTCCACTAACTCTGTTGTTAGATACTTTGAGCCAGGTATACTGTTTAATTCTAGGGTTTCTTCTTCTCCAAATATCCATTAATTCAAACTCCTTAAAGATTTTTGACAATACAACACTTGATTCATGATGGGGTTCTTCTCCATTTCTATCAATAATAAAATCAATAGTACAGTTCCAGTCACCTCCAATAATAGTACAAACATTATCGTCAATTTTCTGAATAGCACTCCTTAACTTTAAAAAAGACCTCACACGCTCAGGTCCATTATTGGGTGCATATATATTTATCAATGCAAAAACAGATCCTTCATATTCCATTTTTACCAACAACAGTCTTCCCTTTACAATTTCTTCAACAGCCAGAATATTGACATTCATATCTTTAGAAAATAAAATTGCTATACCAGCACTATTATTTGTCCCATGACTTAAAACACTTGTTCCTTCCCACCATCTTCTCCATTCAGATTCATTATCTACATTAGTGTGTGTTTCTTGTAAGAAAACTATATTTATTTTCTTTATACTAAATAACTCTGATACCATTGCTAGTTTATTACCATCTCTACCCCCATTCATATTTAAAGAGCCCACCCTCAACAGCTCCATAGGAAAAAAAAAATATGAAAGGGATAGAAAAAGAACAAAAAGACACAGAGAAAAAATCACCCCATGTGAATTAACCATTTGATTTGTTTTATAACGTGCTTGCTTTGTCTTTTCTTAGCTTTGTTAACATTTTCTTCAATCTGAACCTTTTTTGTTTACTTAACACATCATAACTAACATTTCTCTGCAACAATTTCACTGTATAAATAAATTTGTTTTCATCAGGAAAAAAATCTTTAACTTCAATGGTTTTACCAAAGGTCGCATCCAGAAAGTTGTTTATAGCTTGCACTGTATACACATCGTCCACACTCCCACACTGCGATCCAATGTCAGATACATCCGAGAAATCATCATCATCTCTCACCTCCAAATCAGCATCAGTACACATTTCCACAGAATTAGACATTTCAGACTTCTCATTAGAAACCCTTTCAACACTAACCGTAGCAGCATCATCCTTCGTTGCACTATTTTCATCTAGTTCAGAAACATCATGATTTCTACCTGTTTCAACCATTTCATGAACGTTCTCAGTCTGACTTTCAGTCACTCCATCACTCTCGATGTTCCTCTGTGATTCAGCTTGAGGCTGCACGTCCTCAGAAACTGCCCTAACACTCTCACCAGCAGCAGAAGTACTGGGCCTCGCTTCGACTTCTGTAACTTGGGCCTTATGTGGGCATGTGTGCCTTTTATGCCCGATGTCCCCGCACTCAAAACATTTCATACTACCAGTGCTTGCGTAAATAACATATGCTTTTCCTTCATGCATAACTCTAAACGAAATATCCAACTCTGGTTCATTTAAGAACATAAACACCTGCCGCCTGAAGGACATAACGTGTTTTAGAGCAGCATTTTTACACCCCAGCGGGATCATCTTAATCATACTAGCCAACTTTCCATATCGCGTCAAAGCTTTCTCAATTTCTTCATTTCGAATAAATGGCGGCAAATTAGAAATCGTAACTTTAGTTGTCGGAGTAACAAGCGGTGAGATAATAAGGAAATCGCCACTTACCACAATTCCTTCGCTTATCAACTGATTTACTATATCTTCTTTCTCGACAAACACAACCACTGCTTTATTCATCCTGGATGCTGTAGTAATGTTTTCATATCCAACTTTTTCCCCGATTGCCAGCAACACATCCTCGACAGTGACGCCCTGAGCCGGCACACACCTAATTCCATGGCGGAGCGACACCTGTGACGCTGTCCCAGTAGGGATAGACGCCATCACGATGCCGCCGCAAAATCTCACAAACACTCACAAAACAAATCAAAATTAAATTTTTAAAGAAGAAAAAGAAAAAAAGAAAGGGAAAAAAAACATTCATAAACAAAAAGAGGAAAAAACCCCGAAACAATCGTCCTCCCCTCGTAAACACCCTCACGCGCACCCCGACACTCCCAGCATGCAGAGAGAGAGAGAGAGAGAGAGAGAGAGTATGAGCTTTTATACTGTATGTTTGTTCGTTTTGTTTTGTTTTGACTCCCTCTTACAACTCATGTATACATGGTGAGGTTCTTCTAATTGGGATACTTGGTTAATGTGTAGTTTTCTAAAGAGACAAACGCCTGCAGTGGTGTGCGTGAAGTGAAGGGGGGATATTGCTGTGAATCACGTGAAATATTAAATAGGGTTGTGTTACTTGTGTTTAAAGCTATAGTCTA